GGTTATGTTCTATTGTGAAATCAAATCCAAAGCTTTTTTTATTTTTTCAATCACAGAGTCTAACAATCAGAGAAGGAAATAAAGGGGGTGGGAAAATTGAAAAGTTTGGTTCGATTTGAGTTGGAACTTCGGAAATTAAAATTCTGTTCGGTTATCTGTGATTTAACCGGTATTCTTGTAATTTCAATTTGTGGGTTTGGTAAACTTACCAAGCCCAACTAAAACATTTTTACAAACCCAATAAGAGAAACAAATTATGGTTTTTCCAAAGAGGGAAGGACAAAAGTAGACAATAAAGTTGAACAATACCAAACCTCTTTGAAGACTAACTACGAAGAACATTTTAATCATAAAGCAGAGAGACGCATACAAACAATTTAAATCTATGTAACGTATTATGTTGCATTTACATATTTATAAACGATAGCTAAATCCCAAGTGTAAACTCTATTTCCCTTTACTCAAATCTTACTGGTTTTCTATATGTTCCCTGAAGAAGCAAAGTAGAATACAAGCGAATATCTCTCTTCTTGTTCTTGAGAGATGATGAATCCTAACCCGTTAGATGCGAAAAATCGATCTCCTTCTTTCACAACTTCCACACAGTTGAGTTCTCAAGATGAATACACTACGAATGGTACTGCATCGGTTTAAACACGGAAACAATCAAATACTCTTTAGCAACTTGCTCGAGATCGAAATCTGTATAAGCAAAGTGAAGTGACTCACATAGAAGAAACACCATTAATATTAATGAAACAGTGAGCTTGATTGGGTGAGCAAATGGTAAGCGTATCATCGGATTCTGGAAGCAACCGGTCCTGTCAAAGAGCTGCAAAACGCTAAAACAAGTAAATTTACTCTTTCCTATCATGAGTAAAACTGATTGTGAGAACTCACTCACCTGGTTATGATCAGGAAGTCTCTGCATCCACAACACGGTCTTTGTTCCTTTCACTTTAGGCGTGGCTTCGATTTGTGCCACCAATTTCTCTTTTTCTTCTTGTTCTACTTCATTATCATCATCACCAGGAACTATAATCCTCAAAGAATCAAAATTTGGTGAACTCCATGTTCTTCTAGTCCCGAATGTTTTCTCCGCTTGTCGTATCCTACCATCCGCATTTCCCGGTTTCACTCTCTCTTCAACATCTATAACACATTCAGAGCGATTACCATAACCTCTAACTTCCTTAGCTGAAACTTCCGCTCCTCCATTCGACTCGATACTACTACTCTCACTACTAAAGCTCCTCTGCGAAGATCCCGAGAGAAACATTGCCAAATCATCACGCTCTTCTTCGTTAAGATGAACCCAACGAAGAGGTTCTTTTCCTTTCTCACTATAAACCTCTTTCAGCGAAGCTTCTACGCGAGAAATCTGGTTTTCGATAGCGGTAACAAACTGTTTATGCCGTGTTAATGTAGAATCATTCCTACACTGTCTATAGCTCAATCTCACTGCTTTCTCAAACTCCTCCAACTAAATTCACAATTCCAAATTTTCCCAATAACCAAAAAAAAACTCAATAAACCTGTGAATATGATTCAAGAAACATTACTGTGTAGAAGAAACTTAAAAATAAATTGTACCTGCCATTTTGCAGTACCTAAAGCTGCTTGAAGTTCTTTACAGATCTCATCTTTCTTCTCTCTAATCCACAATCTATAAGCAGACTCCATTCTGGAAAGAAACAAAAAAATCAGAAAGATCAAAAATCAAATCCTAAATTTCTCAAACAATCTTAGCTCATAGAGATTTTCGAACATCACAAAAGCTACACGAAACTATACAAATCAGATTACATACATATCTGCAGATTTTTGAACTTCTTCAGCTGCGGAGAAGAAAACATCTTTTTGCCATAGATCGAAGCTGTTCACTATCATCATCTTCTTCAACACAAAACAGAATCAAAAACTCCAAAGAAATGA